CTAATTCTGCCGTCTTTAGATTTACCTAATAAGAATGGCCCACAGTTCTTAGAAAGCATTTTTAGTGCTGTCTGCTGTAGGTGTTTTGTGGAATTGGGGTTTTTGTATGCAACAGGGAGGGGAACAGTTTCTTAGTCTGGAAGCAGGGCCTGGTGGAAGAGGTTTCTGCACCTGAATTTGGAAGGTCTCTTTCATGGGAAGAGTCTGCAGTGGAGGCCAGCAGTGCTCCAGTTCTCTGTGGAGCTAATTGCTTCGAAGCAGCAGAAGTTAACACTGCCCTTCTGCTGCCCAGAGCCACCCCGCCTTGAGCATCTTGATTAGCCAAGGATTTGTTCTATCATTTTCTTAAGCTTGCATGAATTCCTGGCTTAAATGAAATATCAAGCAAACAATGGTTCTGTTCTTTTGCCAGCTCCTTATTGCCCAGTTCATTTATTCATTTAACCAGCACTTACTAAGTACCTACTGGATGCCAGGCACTGTCACAGATGCTGTAACTGCAGCAGTAAGTACATCAGACCGGAATCCCCATCTGCTGGGGGCTTGTATTCTGGTGGGGGGAGGCAGACAGTAACAACAGATTATCTGAAATATGGTAAGTGCTAGGGAGAAGAGATGGGCACAGAGAGGCAGAGAAGGAAGGGGGTGGGAGACAGATGGAGATGAGGAAGAGAGGCCAGGGGGACAGCATAGGAGGGACAAAGAGAGGGACCATGAGACCTTTAAGTCTAGTTGTGTTGACTGTAAAGAGAGATCCAATTAAGGCCATGTTGTGACTTCCAGATTTGATTTATTGAAAAATGCCACCTTTATGTAGCTTTATTTGAAAGAGTTTGGGGCCCCCAGTAATTGTTTGCCTAGATGAGTTGAGTTTTCTTAACTGCTTCTTAGTCTAAAACTCGTTTTGTGCTGGGAATGGCACCAGTCACATCCAACCTAGTTTCTTCAAAATAGAGACCACTTGGAAGCACTTTTCCCTAGATGGAAAGGACACTGCAGTGTTAGTCCAGAGGCCAAGGCTAGAGCTGACCCTGCCACTGACTCGCACCACGGCCTTTGCCTATGCCCTCTAGGCTCTTCTGGTCACCTTCTCTGTCATAGAAAGAGGATTGAGCTGAAAGAATGGCGAAAGTTTTTTTTTTTCCAGGATCAAAAAATGCGAGATGTCTACCTTTGGTTAGATTCCTGTAATGTGCGTGTGCGTGTGTGTGTGTGTGTGTGTGTGTGTGTGGTGTAGCTAGATATAAATAGATATAAAAATTAAGTTTCAATTTCGCTTTAAAGCCAGGGTAGCCCAAAGTCAGTGTTTTTTAAATAAAAAGGATGAAAACTTGATCTTTAGGGATCCTGGGCAAAATATAACCAAAAGGGTATTTTCATGTACTTTTTAAAGAGAAGCTTTGTAACTAGGTCACCACCGGCCATGCACTATCCCTGTGTTCGTTAACTTTCTAGCTAGTATTTAAAGGGTCAGGACTAATTTGGAGAATAATTTGTTACGATGTCAGCATGTAATAAGTCTCCTTTCATAATTGAAAAAATATGTGAATAATTTGCTAATGTATATACCGGAACCCTGTTCTGAGCCCGTCCTATGTATTAGTTCTTTCATTTCGCCCATCTGTGCTACAAAAACGCAGAGATAGTAGCAGCCAAAGGCCTGAATAGTGGGAAGGTTGAATCACCCGCTCAAGGTCAAATAGTGAGTTGCAGAGTCGGGATTTGAATGGAGTTGACTCTAACATCTGTGCTCTCCAACATCACGCTGTTCCAGCTTCTGTGCATTTCAGGGATCAATTGGAACTATTCAACAGAGAGGTTCACTTATGACATTTTAAAGCGAGCCTCATGGACCTGACCTCTGTTACATGGACCCTTGGATTTCTCAGATTTGTGCTTGATCCACCTTTGAATAATAGCAGTTTCTGGTGTAACTCTAAAAAAAAAAAAAAAAGCAGGACTTTTTAGACCTATTACAGTTGACCCTTGAACAAAGACTGCATATTACAGTTGAGCCTTGAAGGACATGCAGGTTAGGAGCATCCACCCCCCACACAGTTGAAAATACATATGTAAGTTTTGACTCTGCAAAAACTGAACTTCTGATAGCCTCCTGTTGACTTGGAAGCCTTACTGATAACATAAACAGTTGATTAGCACATATTTTGTGTGTGGTCTGTGTTATATACTGTATTCTTTTTTAAGATTTTATTTGTTTATTCATGAGAGGCACAGAGAGAGGCAGAGACATAGGCAGAGGGAGAAGCAGGCTCCCTGCAGGGAGCCTGATGCGGGACTCAATCCCAGGACCCCAGGTTCACGCCCTGAGCCAAAGGCAGATGCTCAACCACTGAGCCACCCAAGTGCCCCATACTGTATTCCTACAATAAAGTGAGCTGGAGAAAATGTTATTAAGGGGGTCCTAAGAGAGAATACACTTAGAGTACTCTACTATAAAAAAAAAATCTGTGTGTGAGAGTACCCATGCAGTTCAAACCTGTGCTGATTAAAGGTGAATTGTATATGATCCCTTATATAGAATGTCCAGAATGGGTATATTTATAGACATAGAAAGCAGATTTGTGGTTGCTTAGGGGCAAGGGGCATGGGGAGTGATATGTGACTAATGGGAGCAGGGTTCTCTCTAGGGTGATGAGAATGTTCTAAAGCTGATGATATTGATGGAGGCACAACTCTGGGTATACTTAAAAAACCATTGTACACTTCAAAAGAGTGGCTTGTAAAAAGTGGCTTGTGTAGTGAATTATTATATCTTGGTAAGGTAGTTAGAAATAAGGGAGATGCGAGGGCTTTCCTCTGTTTTATATAGTTCATTTTAAATTGAAGTTTCAAATTTTATTTTAAAGATTTTATTTTTTTGGAGATGAGAGGGAGAAGGGAGGGAGAGGGACAAGCAGACTCCATGCTCAGTCCAGAGCCTGATGTGGGTCTCAATCTCATGACCCTGAGATCATGACCTGAGCCAAAATCAAGAGTTGGATGCTCAACCAACCGAGATACCCAGAAGCCCCTAAATTGAAGTGTTTAAGATGAGCGTTGAAGAAAATAGGAAGACTCCTTTCTTTTATGACTTAGAAACATGAGCAAGAAAGTGAAGACTGAATTGAGTGTATAACCCAGCATTTTAAATTTCTTATAATGACTTGACAGTAGTAATTTAACATTGTTTGAAAACATTGACTTATATTATTAAAATGTTTTAAATACTACAGTATCTGATTATTAAGAAGTAATTTCATATCTGTGACTGAAGAAAATCCGCCAAGTATATAATCTTGTTTAGTGCATAGAATAATTTCAGGGCAGAAACATCTGACTTGCTCTCACTAGTCTTCCTTATCCATTCTGCTGTCTCTGAGAATAATGAGTTATTTTGCTTGGATTTGAACTTGAGGTTAGAGAGGTCTTTCAAAGCTATTTTTCCTAAGCTTTTATCTGAATTTCACTCATTTTAGAATTATTCCTTAATCTTTCTAAAAAGTTATTTCTAATTTTAGGTCGTGTTCCCTCTTAATAATTGCAGGTTTAAATTTATAAAGAAGCATTTTATTTTGCCATAATTTTTAATTTTGAAGCCTCAGGGTAGCATCCTAGGTCCACCACTCTAGGCTTTGGTGAACCAGCGTACAAGCTCGCCCCATCAGGATGTTTCACAATATTGTGTATTTTGTACATAATCCTTAACCGATCAAATAGTTATGAGTGCCAACCATGTGCCAGGATGCAACTGTGACCCATGGGCGCCCAGCCTTGCTCTTGGTGAGCTGAACTCTGCGGCGGGAAGCCCGGCAGTCCTAATCTTTAATCTTGTAAGAATGTCCTCATGTGGCCATCCTCACCTCTTTATCCTGGTCGTTACCCTTACCTGCATCTTTGTCACCTCGCTTGGGCCTCACAATAGCCAGTGACTGGCACTGTGCAGCTATCAAATCACTAGGTTTTGTGCCAAGGTATGTTAATATTCACCGTGCCAGATTTTGTTAGTTAGTGCTTGCCTGGCAAAAAGATCCCAGAAATACCCACCCTCACCTAGTTGATGTGGTTCACTTCCCAGTGACTTCATCTGGATCTCTCCGTGTCATTACTTGGAGAAATAAAAGAACTAAAGCATCACTTAGTTTCCTGTTGTTGCGATAGTCTTCCCAAGCCTAAACCCTTGCAATTGAAATGATATTGTGTATGTTCTGAATACGATGCTTTCATTTATGTCTGAATTGTGATGAATATGCATTATTTAAATGAAGTATAAACTTTCCCTGGAAAATACTGATCAAATCAAATCTTGCTAATTTGATTTCCATCAAGTCCATGCCACTTTAAATTGCCTCAATTTGGAGAAGACAGAATTCTGAAAGACAGAAAGACTGTGAGTTCAGTTGCCTACCTCTTTTTACCACGATGCTTGGCTGCTTCTAAGTTATCTTAAAAAATTAAGCAGTGTGGAAATCTGAGGCCTGTTGCACAATTACTGAGCAGTATGTTTTGTGAGATGATTTGAAAGCTATGAATAACTGTTCTGTAAGTATGTGTAGTATCTCCCACTGAGATCCCCCAGGTACACTTAGCTGTTGTACCTTTGTTGGCGCTCTTTTACGTGACCTGTGCTGTGTGCTGTGATTAGTCCCTTGTGTGTCTCGTTCCCACTGGAGATTGCTACGGAAATGGGGCCTGCAGGGGTGTGGTACTGTTTCTTCGCAGTCGCCATATTTGTTTGTTTATTTTTTAAGATTTTATTTATTTATTCATGAGAGAGAGAGAGAGAGGCAGAGACACAGGCAGAGGGAGAAGCAGGCTCCATGCAGGGAGCCGGATGCAGGACTCGATCCCGGGATTCCAGGACCACGCCCTGGGCCGAAGGCAGGTGCTAAACTGCTGAGCCACCCGCAGTCACCATATTTAAATCTCAGATGCCACATTGTTGGAAGTTGCCTACAAATTCCACTGATATTGCATATTGTCTTTTTTTTTTTTTTTGCTAGTTTCCAGTATGGCTTCTGCACCAACTTCTAAATATAATTCACACTCCTTGGAGAATGAGTCTATTAAGAGGGTAAGTTTTCAGATTTAATTTGTACCTCTTTCTCTGCATTTCTCTTCTCATATTTGCATATTAGGTGGTCACTTCAGGCTCATTGAATTATTAATTATTCACATAATGTAAAATCTCCAACATATGTGGTTTTCTTTATTATCCTGTCTTGCTCCACAAAAGACAGAATGCCATGTCTCAAGTTTTGCATTTGTAAATCCTTTCACGTAACTTCATTTTTTGAGAACCTCTGTTTTGCCAACTGCTGCCAGACACTATATTTAATATAGTAAGTGATCTCTCAGCCTTGGAAGCTTTCTGAAGGAGATATTGGAAGGCCAAGGCCCACTGAGCAGGTTCTTATACCTTCCTCAATATTGACCTTATTTTCTAATTATGATGATAAAAAAAATGTATGACCAAAACAAATACAGCACTAAGAAAAGAATTATCAAAGTAGCAAGAAAATTGTGTAATTAGTGGGAGATTTTGAAACATACATTGAAAGGAAAGGATGGATTTAAAATAAGCTTTATTCATGGCCCTTTGAAGCTTTGGATACATTTACCAATTACTCACCAGAAAGATTCGTTTACACTCCCACCAGCAGTGTACAGAGATGCCTAAGCAATCAGAAGGGAGCCAACTAGTCCCTTTTAATCTGTAGCTCCCTGAGTACTAACAAGGGTAACCTTTTTTAAAAAAAAATGTTTATCATCCATTTGTATTTCTTTTTTGAAGTGGCTTATTGTGTCCCTTGCCTACTTTTTGGAGTGTTTGAGAGGATAATTTTCTATTGATTCATAAGTGTTCTTTACATATGATGATGATCAGCTCTTTATAATATACATTACAGGTCTTTTTCTTTCTTATCATTGGCCTTTTAATTTTATTTATGGCATTTTGATTTTGAAATACAGAGGTTTAAATTTTTTATGTGATCACATATATCGGTCTTTTATATTTCATAGTTTCTGCTTTGGGTGTCATGTTACAAGGACCTTTTTTCATCCCTGAGATTATATGCTTTTATTGTATTTTGGTATCGTTATGGTACAAGGATCAGTTCTAAACACCAGAGTTACTTCATGAAGCTAATTGTAAGTCCTTGTGGAGTGTGACTCTAATATAAAATATATCCTCTGTTAATCCCATGTTATCCTGTGTTAATCAGACATCTGTTTGCCTAATTTTGTAGTTGAATTGTACTTTTCTTCTTCTGACCTCGAACTGTGGTCCTTAAAAGGTATACTGAATATTACAGTTGCTCGTCATACTTGTTTTTAGTTAGTGAGTGGCAGCATTAAAGGATACTGAAGGGAAGGCATTCCTGGCTGGCAACAATTGGTCTTGCCCTCCTGGTTAAAATGCTCAGCTTGCAAGCACTAAAACATTGAAAACTGGCCAGGAATTTTCATTTTGTGCCTGAATAAAAATGATAAAACCATTAAAAGCCCAGCCGAGCACCCACCTCTGACAGCTTATATCTTACTTAAATACACAATTCACAGTTCTCTTATTTCATGATACTTTACATTTGCAGAGCCCTTGATAATTGACAAAAGTGTTCTAGTGCGTGTTGTTTCACTTAATATTCACAAAAACCCTTTGAGGGAAGTATATACTGACTTTACACGTAAAATGATTGGCCTCCTCGGTAAAATGCTTGATCGCCCTTTCCTCTTCTGTAGTGACCTATGTGAGGAAGGATCTCAGTAAAGTAAGAAACTTGATATGTAAGAAGTTATTTTCTGACATGGGAAGATTCTGTAATTACTGTTGTTCAGTTAAGGGCCCATTGAAATGAAGTTTCCATCTCTGCTCTTAACAAAAGATGACTAAATATTTAATACGGAAAAAAAAGCTGCCAGAGTATGCCTGTGTCTATAGAATATGCTTAATATTGACTTTTTATCGCTTCCCTAAACACTGTTAACTGTAAAGTGGTTGGAAGGGGAGTTTAAACATTGATACTGAAAAGTGTGCTAATGCTATTTACAGACCAAAAGTTAACACAGCTAAAGGATATTGATGTAAGTTGTAATTTTTGGTCGTTTGCTTTTTCTGCTCCACTTTTCTATAATGGTAAATATCACTGTAATTTTTTCTTTACAGAGTCTATTTCTGGTTGGTTGTGTTCCAGGTTGCTTAAAAATCTGTGCAAATGTAATGTCATTCCTTCTGACGCCCCTGTTTCATTTCCAGACTTCTAGGGATGGAGTTAATTGGGACCTGAGTGAGGCTGTTCCTCGACTTCCAGGAGAAACTCGTATCACTGGTAAGGGTCCTGTGAAGTTAGGATTCACGTAACTTGATGAGAGTCCCAGCAGGATCAGGTGGCTTCCATCCCTCTTTCTCTACAGAACTCAAATTAAGAGAAATAGGCTAGCTTTGTTTAAAACTGTTAATATAAGGAGAACTCTCTCCATTAATTTCCTGATCAGAGAGTTCTTTCAGGAGTTTCATGATATTCAGGAGGGTGATGTTTTTCCCTCTGTACCCAAGACTGACAATTATTTTGGGAAAAAAGTGGATTATCTCTTAAATGTCTCTTATTGGAGCTCTAAGCTCTCATGGTTTGAGGTTATAAGCACAAAATAATGTTAAGGTTTTCCAGCCTAGGATGTGTGCCTTAAATTGATCAACCTAAAGACTTAACATCTTTGTAGTCTTTGTTTTGAAATATAGGAGACCATATTGGTTTAGAATATCTTTCATTTGTCCAATAACTGGAGTTAGTAATATTGATGGAATATTTCAATTGTTGACGTATTTTTTTTCATGGTAAATTCATATTAAGAGGAAGGGATCTACTTTGGAAGGACCAGATCATTCAGGCTTAAGAATATAGAAGCATCTGTCAACTTCTAAGCCAAATGCTAATGTTGTAGGCATTCACATTTTATATTAGGGCAGAGGACACCCTCACCTCAGATTATCACATATTTGGTAATGTGGTGGTGATACAGCTACCATTGTTTCAGGGAACCTTTTGGTTTGTTAACTAAGGTCTGGGTTGTTTAGCTCAAGTGGCTACAACATGCTGTTGATGAGATTAAGGCCATAAGACATGGTGCCTTTGTGAATTAGTTAGCCTTGCACCGTGAGAAACTCTTCCATGTCCGTAGACTTGCACCCGATTCTGGTCTTGATGAGAAAACCAGTGGCATGCATCCATCACAATTCTGGATAAGAGCAAAGAGGATAGCTTACTTCAGGTGGCCCTCATATATGGAATTTTGGTGCTCTGCATCATTGTCAGAAGCTTAACTGAGGTAGCCATTCATTGAATTAGCAGGATGTAGCCTTACTGGGCATTTTTCGTTTAGCACCCAAGGAGAAAGGGATTTCAAAATTGTTTTAAAAAATTAAAAGCCATTAACACATTCAAGGACATCCTTGAAAGATAATAGGAAGATCTTTTTGTTATAATAAATTACCTCTCCTGATTGAGTCTCTCCTTATGTTTGAGTCTACTAAAGATATACCATTACCTTGGCCATCTGTTTTCTGTCCCTGAAATGATTGAAATGGATCTAACTAAAAACTCTTCTCTGGACTATTAGAAAACACTAGGAATATTTCTACCACTGACATCTATTTATTAAAAACATCACAATGTTCATGTGATGAGAGGTTGGCAAGCCTCAGACCCTACGTGGTGGTTAGTCCACGAGACTGTCCCACCTGAACGGCCATCCTCTGGTTGCAGGAGCTCCGTAGTTATCTCTAAGAACCACCTAGGAGTAGCAGCAACAGGACCTGAGTCCACTTTTGCTCTCCAGTTTACCACCTTGCCCCAGGTGGTGACAGCATTTTGGTCAAGCTCAGGGAAGCCGTGCCGGTGCTTGGAGGTGACCTGTGGCCCCCACTTGATCTGGCACGGTAATGTTGAAACATTGCCCAGTGCCCGCTTCTCGACCTTTCTAGGGATCCTTTTTTTACTGTAGCTATTCTTAGCCACATAGTTGATATTAAATGAGTGCCATTTGTTGTGTATCTTGGTATATATTTCCATTATTTTAGGGTACTTTTTTTATCTTAATAGACAAAGAAGTTATTTACATATGTCCTTTCAATGGCCCCATTAAGGGAAGAGTTTACATCACAAATTATCGTCTTTATTTAAGAAGTTTGGAAACGGTAAGTAGAATCTAAGACCATAAAGATGACCCTAACTGTTAAAGATAATGCTAAACTATGTCTCTTCTACCTGGCAACATTGACTGTGGATCAGATTAACATGGGGGATATATTTGCTTCTCAGCTCTTAATTTTTGGCTTTTGCAAAGCTCATTTACCACTAACACCTGCATATGTAGCAAGAGCGAATCTAAAAAGTCCGAAGTTTTGGCCCTCATCACATTGGGGAAGTGTTGGTAACTGGACCCATCTGCTAGTTTGGAGGAGTTAGTGTAGAATAGTGGTTCTTTACCAGAAGCACAGATGAGAACCACTTGGGGTGCTTAACAGACACTAAAAATGCCCTACAGGTGTTGTGTCAAAATGTCTGGGCCTGTGGTCCAGATACAGTTGTACATTTTAAGATGCCACAGAGGAGGATGCTGATGATATGAATCCCTCGTTAAGGCCCATTGCTCTAGAACTTCCCAAGTGTTACAAAGTACTAGGTAGTGGTTTAGCAGTAGGATGCCTGTGGTATGGCTTGTGCCACTCTACATTTTTACTCCATGGCCATGAAATGTTTGTCACAGCATTTCAAGGAATGTACCCCCGATGGAACAATGAGATGGAGACGAGATGCTCCAGAAGGGAAGGGACAAGTGAAGAGCTGCCATGGCTGTCACCGAAGGACCCACGGTAGATACAGTGGGTCACCATCATGCAGGCCAGCCTGAAGGGGCAGCTATATCTGGGGGATGGATAGGTCCAAGGTTCGTGGAAGAGTAGCAGTTTCTACACAGGAGATGTTGAGACCATTGGGAGAATCTAGCTTTTGTTTCGTTGCTTTTACCCCATAACTTCTTCAGGACTATTGTTGCCTTGTCTTGATTAAGTCAAGGCATGTGACTAAGAAGCCATGGGCTAAATGGTGGTGGTACACCTAGGTGAGTTATAGACCGTGGATTAAAGGCTCGATGCCAACCAGGAAGGGCAGTCCCAAATGTCTCGCTGTGCAGGGCCCCTCCTCTGCAGCATTTCTAACACAATGCAGTTGAACCCCCAGAAAGCATGCATGTCCAATATGTGAGAAACCACAAACTAGCCAATGCGCTAGACTACACAGGTGTGATTTGAAACTGCCTTAATAGACTAGGATATCAGAATGAAACTAATGATACAACATTTCTTGTAGATGACATTTATTTTATACAAACCGCTGGTGCCAACGAAGGATGGAGGAGGTCTTAACAGGGGCTTGAGCTTATTTGACCCAGTAATTGGGCCTGGTTGATGTCAAAGTTAATATACCCATAGGCTCTACTCACAAAAAGTATAAGACAGTGACCAGCAAAATGAGACTGTAGTCCCACCTGGAGTGTCGTGTCATGTTCAGATCCAGGTGCCACGTTTTAAGAGGGACATTGGCACACCAGCAAGGGTTCAGACAAAGGGGACCAGGTTTGTGGAGGGGCTGTAATAGAAGCAACGATTGAAGTAACTGTTGGTTTTTCATCTGAAGAAAAGACAGAAGCGAGGCACGGCAGAGCTACCCTGGAATGAATGTCTGAAGTGCCTTTTGTGAATCAGGAATCAGACTCATTCTGTCCGGCTCCCAAGGGTCAAATTGGGACAGATTGAGAGATTTGATACTGATATATGTAAGGGTCATCAAAAATGAGAATTAAAACAAGTGTTACGGTGCCTTACCCCTCTGAGACCCTTGGCTTGTTGGCTGGCCACGCATGCCCGGTCCCATTTTCTGCTGTCACTGATGACGAACTGGGGAAATTTTTAAGACTCTGCTGCCATGACAGGATTGTACGATCTCAGCTACACAAAACGAGTGAAAAGTATCAGTAGAAAAGAGGAAATAACATGAAGCGTTTTAGTCCTTGGGCTCTCTGGAGAGTGGAATTATGCATGCTTTATTTTTTTCCCTCCACTTGGAATGAGCATGTATGACTTTTATGATTGGGAGAGCACGTAGCAAGCTTTCGTTGGTTTTCATGTGGCATTGTAGAAGGTGGGGATGAACACCAAAGGGGTGTATAAAAGGCCCATTTGACAGCGACTACTAACTTTTTTCTTCTTCTACTGTTTCACATAAACATTTTGACCAGTCAGCCCTAACATTTAGTATAAAAGCGAGAAGCTCATGGCAGAAAACATCATATACAGAAAGCCATGTAAGTGGTTATGCAGAAGCCTCAAAACATAGTCATCATAGTGTTTCTTAAAGTCCTAAGTAAGAACATCAGTTGTGGATTCTGCTGCAAACTGTGTGTTTGACAAAGAGCTGTCCTCTCCCTGGCATTTTGAAGCGGACACCTGTTTCAGGTAGGTAAACCCAGCAGCGGGAGTGCAGTCTGACTCGGGAGCCCGCTGTCCCACGTCATTGAGGTGTCAACGGCAAGGTGTCCCGCCCACCCCATTCCCTAGGATGGTAGCAGCACAGTGGCTATCTCCTTAGATTGTCACTGCAGCCCCTCCTTCCTGGTCATCCGTCCTCCACTCTGCCTTGCATGCTGCCTCCAGAATGATCCTCCTTAGAACGAGGCTGGCCTTCTTACTTCTCCAGCCTAAAACTCTCGTTGGCTCCTTGGGGCTCACAGAATAAAATCCGGTCTCACTTACGTGGCATAAACATCCTCGTGACTTCTCTTGCTTCGACTCACGCCACTTCTGGCCAGGCTTTTCCGTATGGAGGCATGGCATGTGCTCTTCACCCTGGATCTGGGTGTTCCTTTCAGAAGCTGCTGTCTTTCCTTCAGAACCCACCTCAGCAGTCCTGAGCCTCCTCCAGCTCCCGGTAAGGGGCCCCTCTGTCTTTGTGTCCCCATAGCCTCTTCCCATGCCTCTCCCTCCCCTCTAGCACCCACTGCTCATGAGCCCTCCCTTGACCGTCACACCTTCTTTCCTTTCCATGTTTGTTTCTCCGGAGCCCTTGTCTCCCGCCTCCGATTTTATATATTTCACTGCTTCATCTTGTTGCTTGGCCCTCTGATGACAGGGATGCTCATCTGTCTGTCCCCGTCCCCCACCCTGTGTCCCCTCAGTGCTGAGGACAGAGCCTGGCAGAACATTGAAGGGTGTTCATTCGAGCCGCGCTGAGTGAAGGAAGTCTGGTCTTACTTATTTGCTGCTGTAGGTCTGTGGCCTTTACTAATGCTGAGTCCTTCTGGTCCTGGGCCTAGGTAGCGCCGTGTCCAGTAGGCGGTAGACACTCAGGCAAAAGGTATGCTGTGAGCGAACTTGGGAGGAAACAGGCTTCATCACTCCAGTTTGACTGCCATGAGGACCCCACTAAATCCCAGCATCTCGAATACTGACATTGTTTCTGGGCTTTGGAAATCCCATAGCCCCCTTTTGACCTTGAGGGTGCTCAGGAATTTGGTGTGGGGTCGCTCTCATGACCACAGTGGTGGCGGGGAGGGGGGAGCAGTTCCCTTTTGGCCCATGGTGCTCTAATCCGTAGACTCCCAAGAAGAAGGAAGACTGCCTCGGCTTCCTTTCCAGGAGCACGTCAGGTTCAGGTGCGGTAGCTGGTGAGAAAGGCAAAGTAACCCCTTGGTTCATTCATGCGCTCGTGCCTGTATTCTGGAACCTTCAGTGAGCAGCACGGTGAGCTAACAGTGAGCTTGGTGAATGACACAGAGGCGAGTAATTGGGCTGTAATATGACAGAGCCTGGGGTGGTTGCATAACACTGTGAGGTTACAAGGGAGACGGCAAGTAACCCAGTGATGATGAGTCATAGCATGCTTTGTAGAGGAGGTGATATTTGAGCCGAGTCTTGAAGAATGGTAACAATTTCCTGGACAGGAGGGGAGGTGGGGGGAGCGGTGCAGGTAGAGGGTTTCCCTATGTCACTGCATGACGATCTGGAGAAGACCACATAGTGTGGAAACGGCTGGGTGGGCTGTTGGGGCTGGAGCAGAGGGTGGAGGGGGAGTGGGGGGCAGGAGATGAAGCCAGGAGCAGGGTCCACCCCACGAGTCTCGCGAGTCACAGGTCAGCGGCGCTGGCCTTATGGGGAGGACCACACAGTGGATGTGCATTTCTGGAAGGGACGGCCGGTTGCAATGTGTCTGATGGACTGGGGGGGGGGTACTGGAGGTGGGGAGAGCAGTGGGAAAGGCAGTGGTCCAGGTGAGCAGCCGGGGCCTCGCACAGTCGTCGTCGCACCAGGAGGAGGGAAGAGCGCGGGAGGTTCGGGAAGACGGGGTGGCCGTTTGGAGGTGGGAGTTGGAGGAGGGACTACGAGTCGAGGGTGGTGCCTCTGATCCTTTGCTTTGACGTGGACCTCCCGGGAGAAGGAGTGTGGCGGAGATGAGCCCCCGGGGATCCTCGGAACAGGTGGACTTAATAGCCGTACAGCCACTGAGTGGCAATGTCTCCGAAGCATTTGGAAACGTGACTTCGAAGCCCGTGAAGTTGTTAGCACGTCAGTGTTGGTGGAAGCCGCATGCATCCCCGTGATTACCTGACAAGGAGATGCATGCTGCGGCCGAGGACCCTGAGGGCTCGAACATTCTCCCGGGCGGGGTTGTGGGGGGCAGCCCTAGCGCCGGAAAAGAGATAGCAGAGGTGGTCAGAGCGGAGGCTTCGGTGGAAGTCGGTGGAAGGGAGAAGATTCGGGAAGGAAGGGAGCACACCGCTGAGGGAATGCTGCAGGGCTCGGCAGGATAAAGAACGAGCAGAGCCCAGGAGGGTGGTTGTTAGGTCACTGGGAACCCATTCTGTGGACGCACCAGTCTGGTGGTCTCCCTCTTCCTTCCGCCTCAGCTGGCTTCTCTCTGGTCCTCATCCTCCCCAGGGCTCCTCCGCTCCCTGGCTGCAGTCTCCTCTCTCAGGATAACACTGCGTGCTGGCTGTGCTCCTCCCCACATGCTCTCCCCAACCAGGCCACAGCTGATGGGCAGAGCCATCCCCTCGTCGCCCCTGGGCTTGCTTTGGTTTCTAGGGCTGCCTTTCTTCTGGCCCCTTTCTCATTTTTTTAAAAAAAAGATTTATTTATTT